GCGAGGACGACCAGGTCTTGTCGTGGGACGAGGGCCGTATCTCGATGCAGCAGTTTCGAGCTCTCTCGCACGGCTTGCTCCGGTCCGTCGCGTCGTCGACGAGGCGCCTGATGTACGACTTGCAGCCGCAGGTCGATCTCCACGCCCTCCGGGACAAGATGTCAGATGTGGGAAAAGGCTACTCGTTCGTGACCGAGCCGGCGAACCACCTGGTCGATGCCTTCTTAGCCTTGTCGGAGCGTGCCTGCCTCTCCCCCGTGAATGGTCTGATCGGTAGGAGCGGATGGGACCAGCAGGCCGTCCGTCGCTATATCGAGCTGCACGACCAAGCGCTGGTTGAGCTCATGGCACTGATCCACCTCACCGGCGGGCAGGCTGCTCGGGCGACGGAGCTGATGTGCCTAGAACATTGCAACGGCCCTTCGACAAGCCGGGGCATATACGTCTACGACGGCTCCTTCTTCCTCGTAACCAGGCATACCAAGGCCCGTTCGGTTACCAACCAAGAGTTCCAAGTCGCCCGCATGCTGCCGGACGAAATCGGCCGCCTCCTCTACCAGTACCTTGTGTATATCCGGCCGTTCACATACATGCTGCAACGGCGTTGCTACGGAATCGACGTCGAGTCTTCGTTGCTGTTCTGCTCCCCACAGAGACCCGACAGGCTGTGGAAGACACACGTCCTTTCAGGGGCGCTGCGGCGGCTCACCGAATCGACCGTCGGCCGAGCGTTTGGCACACATGTATATCGGCAGCTCTCCATTGCCGTTACCGAGAAGCACGTTCGGCAAATCAGGAATCCGTTTGACCGCCACAATGATCGAAGGCGTGACGCTGACGGTGGCGTGGCGTTCGCCTGGCAGAGCGGACATCGGCCCTGGCAGAGAGCCTGCATGTACGGGCTCGACGGGGCCTTCCCCGACAGCCTCCAACCCGCCCTTCTGCAGCTTTACAAGTGGGTATCTTTGGAATGGCACGGATTTCTACAGCTCGGGCAGCCGGATCCGGCGCGCCAAATCCCCGGAATGGCGGCGCAGCCGCCTCGAGTTTCTCTACTGCCGAACGACTGCCCGCTTGACGTCAGTGAGCCGGCGTCCTCCGCGCCGCTTGTTCGGACCGTACAGCCTCGAACAGCTCCGAATGGCCCGCAGCCAGATCGTACCCTACCTGGCCATCGATCCGACCAAGCTGGCGAGGAAGGGCCTGATGCGTTTCCCGTCTACAGACCGCCTGAAGAGGCGGCGTTTAGAAGAAGGAGAAAAGCCTCTAAAGCCTCTAGCCCCCAGGGCCGAGAGTGCCCCCAATTGTACGGTCCCCGACGATCCTAGCGTACAGTCGGCTGGCTACACACAGGCCTTACAATCCCGCTCAACATCACCCAGGAATGTGTCTCCAACAAGTATAGGAACGGGGACGGAGACGGGAACAGGGACGGGAACGGAGACAGAAATGCGAATGGGGATAGAAATGCGGATGGAGACAGAAACGCGGACGGTAACACATATCGTGCAGGACGGGGCCAAGGTCGTGGGCATCGTTCAGCCACCTATTCTAGCCCCTATACGAGAGAAGGGGTTGCGTATAGTGTTGTTCGATGAATTTTTCAAACGATTGCCCGCATTCCGGATAGCGGTTTGCCGCGAGCACTGTGGTGCGGTTACGGCGAAGTCGGTTGCGGCACATGTCGATTCGCACCACTCCCATCTAGCTCCAGGGGATCGGCGGCGCATCGTGGAGGAGGCGTTGGCGCTGCAAGATGACGGCTTGCTAGCAGCTAACGTAGACGGCATCCGGTTCCCCAGCGAGGTGATGCCGGCAATCGACGGATTGCCCGTGTGGAGCGATGGCAAGAAGTGTATACAGTGTGGGTATATCCGGCGTACGAGGTACCATATCCAGGAGCATTGCCGGTCGGAGCACGGTTGGGCCAACCCGCGGAAACGCGGCGGCAAGCCCGGAGCAAGGCCGGTAGGTGGGTTAGGCGAGGTGTGGGTGGACGGTATCCATTGCCAACGATTCGGCCGGACGGGCGCGCTGCAGCGTTTGTTCGAGGTGGTGCCGCCGGCGCCGACAGGGGCGGTCGATGCCATGCAAGGTCGAGCCCGGGGCGAGGACTGGTCGAGGAGTACCCGAAAGGCCAAGGGGCAGCAGAGAAGACGCAATCAGGAGTAAATTAAAGGGAATGGACTAGCCAGCCAGCCAGCCAGCCAAGCCCATTTCATTCCCATCCGTCCAAGATAGCAGACGCCAGAGAAACGAGAACCGAGACGAGACAAGATAGGAGGGAGAAAATCAACAACTAACAATAAGAACCCCCCACCATGGAAATCGTTCGACGAGTTGTTCATACAAATGCCCACCCTTCAGGGGGCAATTTGCCGTGAGCATCGGAAAGT